GATTATAAAGGTTCCTATAATGATATTAAGAAGGTAATACATATGGTTTTGAGAACATTTTTTACTGTGTTTTGTATATTTTATGAAAAACAAAAACTACTGTAAGAAAATTGTTTTTAGTATTAAGTAATTAATTACACAGTAATTAAGCTATGATGCTATTTTAGAAACTAAATATTGGTTTTACAATTTTCTATATTTTAATTATCGTCATCGTCCTCGGATATATTAGAATGTTTCCTATTTGCGGAATTTGTTGGGTGATAGGAAAGGAGAAAAAGGAAAATATTTCTCTCTCCCTCTTAAATACCGTCACTTATTACTTGAATTCCTTTTACTGTGTCGTTTCCGTAATTATTATTATTATTATGCCACTTTCCACGTTAAATTACAACATTAGAAACATGCACTGTTGTTGGTAATAATAAGAAAGTATTCGTACTGAATATCATCCACTTAACTACTTGATGAAATTGCGATACATAATTTTATCATACGAGTAAAAGTTCAGYGTGTTCATTCGTGTGTAGAAATGTAGAGTTCATGAATTTGTTGCAAGCAACGATTCCGGAACTTTGAGTTTTAAAAATGTACTTATAGATGACATAAAATATTAATAGCATCGTCGAAAAAAAATCAATCTTCGATTACTTTCGGTATATAATTTATCGCTGAAATTATTTTCTATCTCGTTAAAAATAATGAAAATACAAAACAAATGTTGGAAAAATCCCGTCGTTGGGGGTTTTTTTGTAATGAAATCAAGCGCTTTACTTAAAAAAAAATATATATATTCTATGGAGCCACTAAAAATAACAGTCATATGCTTCAAAGTTCAAATCTCTAAACATGCATATTAACGCGCACATTTAAATTTGTTCTATGATTTTGTTTGCAATCCTAGAAATAAACCTAGGAATTAATATTGTTATAATATAGACTTCTGGGTACGTTTGTTACATTTACTCCACAAATGTTGATTAACAAAAAAAATTGTAGCCATGCCTATTTAAATTTGTGGTAAATTATATTTTTAGTATATTATTCACAAAACAAAAGACATTGGGCTGTATCAATATAATATATGGACATGGGCACAACCATTATATTTTTGAAAAAAATTTTTTTTTWAATAATACTATTATTAAGCTGATATCTGACCATAATTTGATCGATTGAAGGTTGTGTAATTTATGAATAAACTATGTAAAGTAAATATTCTGTATTGTAAAAATAAACATACTTCATTGTAATTACCTTCTATTTTAACAGAATAAGGGTGGTATATTATATAGTATAGCATCTAATGTATAAATACCGTATATATATATATAATATATTAGATGCTGTACTCTGTATAATGTGCCGTTTGAGTATCTTTTTAAATTAATACTATCAAGAATTTAATCGTCTTGATCCATAACATTTGTTAAAAATACAATTTTACTCATTAACACAATCTATAGCAGAAACTGGAAACGAAACTTTTTTATTTACGTCGGAAATGGTAGTTTATCTACATTTTGACAATAATATATTATACACCTACGAGGTAGATATATAGGTAATTATTTATGCAACACATCTGGATATTTGTGTATAATCGTGTGAAAGGCAATATCGTATAATTAACCTCACGGTTCGGTTGCCAAATGTAGGTACGCCTCTAGAGTTAATAATGGTATAGGATGTTACCAACAGCTTTTCAACGTTTCTAATATATAGAAAGTTTTGATGACATATAAAAAAAAATTGAAATATTTTTCAGCACTAATTTAAATTAATCTGAAAGTGGTCTCACGTAATCAGTACCAAATTTGCGTAACTCCTATTTCGCATTATTTTTATGGAAAAACTACGGTTTTGGGTGACAGAATCGACGAGTGTAGTACAATAAGTTATAGATAAAAATAGGTAAAAAGTGTAAAACATTGACTGTGAAATGTCGTTCTGATTCTTACACTAGTGGAATAATGTGTGATCACGATTTAAACTTTAAAGTAACACTAAATATGTCAGACAGATGACCTTGTATTGCAATTATTGGGTTTTCGGGAAGTCATAGGGAGTACTTAAATACATGTTTTCAGATAAATTTAAAATTTTTAATACTATTGGTGTGCGCATGCGCAATACTACTTAATTTTTTTTTAATGGAAACACTATTTTTTCCACATATTCGAATAGATTATATATTTTTTTAAACATTTTTTGAATTAAAAGTTTTTTCTATTTACAAAACTTGCCAAGTTACAGTAAGTCAAAATTTGGATTTATGCATAATACGTGTTTAATGAAATTTTAATTTATAACCACTGGAAATAATAGCATAAGTGCCAAATAAATATTTAATTTACTTAATCTGTCTGTTTACAAATAATATTTAAGTAATTAATAATAATTTAAAATATAATAAATATAATAATAATAAAAACTGTTAATCACTTAAATGAGTATCTAGAGTATGTTATGATTTTTGTTAAGTAATCTGCTGTAATAGGATCACAATTTTAATTTTTTTTATAGTGGAATTTTGTTTTAATTTACAATAGCTCTAATAACGATAAGACAATCAGATAATAATAATAAAATAAGTGTGAAATAATTAAACATTATTTTTAGCATAAGGTATCGACTGTATTAATTAAATCTATAACAAAATGTTTAACTGATTGATACGTGGGATCATTTGGTAAGTCACTTTTRACATTGGTTTAAATATATCTGAATTATAAATAATGTTAATTATTTCAGACCCCTCGAAAGAAGCTTGTCGTATTTATCTGTGAAAACTACATTAAAAAAATATACATAAAATTGCCATAAATCATTAAACTATTTAAAATTTAAAAAATTAAATAATAATGTTATTTGGAAGGATTTGATTTTTAAGAAACTATACTAAATAATTTTTAAAAAAAGTTATAAACAATTTTATAGAAGGTAATTAAAAATCTATACTAAATATAGTTTATTACGATCAARTTAAAGTTGTATACTTGAGTACTGATCTAGTTCCGAGTTCTGGTATTTAATTTCTGTCAGTGAATTTTTATTTTATTTATTTAATTTTTGACGAATAACAAAAGTACCTATCTCTATAATATTATGACAAAAAAAAAAAAACCCGTTTGATGTTCTATAAAGAAACAATTATTATTAAAATATGCGAAAACCTCAAAAAATTTGTAAAGTAACGTTTTGTGTTTGTATTTTAAAACGTACTCGTGAAATATTAATTTGCAATGTTTCACATTATAAACTTGTGTCCAATATGGATTTGCAAATTAATGCAGTCTCGAGCCGTACCCCTCATCACAAGAATAATATACTTAAAACTCAGACTAAAACTGGGAATTTTTTTATTGAATTTTTCTCAAATCTACCGGATGATACATTTGACGTAAGACAATCGTTCTTTCAGAAAATACAAAGTGAAATGTTTGAAAATATTTCTTTTACATAATTTATGGTCGTTATAAAACAACATCTTATTTAGGATAAAACTATATTTTTTACCTTTTCGAATGACAACATACAGCATATTTTATAATTTCATCTTTCGAAGCAAAGTATTATTTGGAGTATTTTGGTCTATTAAAATCAAATTTCGGATATAAGTACTTAATTGGTTATAAGAAGGTAGGTATTTAAAGTTTTTACGATCAGAGTAACTAACATTTTTCTTCTTTAACAGAGGTCCAGGAATACCACTCAACTACGCTCATCTAAACTTAAAATAGGTACTTATAATTCATATAAATTACTCATCCAAATTTAAATATGTTTATATGGGTATCGAACAACTTTGTCAAATATTCTGCTTTGGAATAAGGAATTTAAAATACACATTGTCACAAAAAAAAAGTAAAAAGTAAAAACAAAAACAAATGATAACGATCAATGATTATAAAATAAACGTTTAATAGTTTTTGAAAATATTGCGAATGTCTTGCGCCAAACGGATCGTCCCTATATGTACCTCTATGTATGTACACGTATAATAAGAATTTATTTTATTTTTAAATTACGGTAATTTTGTACACGTAAGTGCGCTATTCTATACATTATTTTAATATAATACTATGCATTGTGTTTTCATCTACGTGGTTTCAAAAAATACATTCACGCAAGCCGGATCATTTCAAACGCAACACGGAGTATTGGCAGTCACTGGGTAGCAACAACAGACACGCACGCATACTCACACACATACACACACACACACACANCGGAGTATTGGCAGTCACTGGGTAGCAACAACAGGCCCGGAATATAATACTCACACACATACACACACACACACACACACACACACACACAAACACGCTATTTTGTTTTTCTACCTTCGGTACCATAGCCATTATTATCTGGGCCATGATTGTCGTCACCGTCAAAATCATCAATCTCGGCTTCCTCTACAATCGTAGCACACTTCTGTCTGTTTGGCTGCACGCCTGCCGCAGCAGGCAGCAATGACGATGTGTCCGACGACACTTCCGACACGTTCATCGCTAACCTCTGCATTTTATGCACCATGGTTATGGCGTTCATTAATTGCTGGAAACATCATCATCATCTTAACGTTTTTATGGTTGCATTTTTCTACTCCATCCAGTATTGGATATACGCCGATCTGCGTATGCATAGGCTGGTAGAGGTATTAGGTATGTCTAATACATTATTATTAGGTACACTTAAGTATTATGTATGATTTTATGTAATGATTACTACGATGCATTGTTATGATATGAAGCAAAATTGTCTAAATATATATAATATGTATGATGATGAGTTGTAGTTAAAGGGGTTACAGGACGCAAACGACGCGAGTCATCTTTACTGTTTACCGCGTGTTCAAGGTTAAGGTTTTGGATAGGGTCGTGCTATGGGCTATGGCACCGTGCGTGGAATATTATTACATAATATTTGTTATTATATAGGTACGAGTGATATGATAATACGGACTACGGGTGGACCGATAAGACGTGGGTACGTACCTTCCATCTGGATTTGGCGAAGTTCTTTTTGAGCTGTGCCGAAACGGTTCCGTGAATGTTCTTGCTGCTGGCCGCGTTACCAGATATCCTGAAACACGTGCATCATTAATCTCGTTACAATATAAGTAGCTACGAATAATATTAGAGCAGTTAAGTAGATAGGACGCGATTATAGTGTCACGTGTTGTTTATCCGAAGAAACCGGAAGAAAAATGCACACCAAATTATTATAAACAAAAGAGAAAAGGTAATAACGTAGGTATTTAAAATGAAAAAATTACTTTGCAGTAAAACGCGTAGGTATGACATTACTATTATTACATGTCAAATTATTTCTGCAATTCTGTACATTTATATTAATAAGAAATGCAAAAATAAGGCGAATATTTGAATTTTTCTATACRAACATTGTATTTTATATTAATATATATTATACAAACGGTATGTAGATATTACGCGTTAATTTTGTGTTAACAATCGTGACGGTCGCTGTGGATGTCGTTTTGTTAATTAACATTTCCCGATGTAACGACACTATTTTGGTCRTGTATGACAGCTATAGTGCACGCAACATTTAAAATAGATGTTTTTAAACATGAAAAATGCACCTYTTAAACTTTTAAATAACAACAAAATATCGTGTACCTATAGGTACTTTTTAACATTTAACATTATAAGACACGTTTTTAAGACTCKTATTCGTTAAAAACAAWGTAATTTGAGTTTATCATCAACACAAATTGTTGCTAATATACAATTGAGTGCAATTTTAACGTATATGAATAAYCCTATAAGGTAACATATTTTAGACGAAAAACTGATACAACGAATACATTTTTTCATATTTCTGATTACACTTACCATGGATGAGCCAGTGCTTCACGGCACGTGTAACGTTTGTCTGCGTCAACACACATCAGTTGCCTTATGAAATTTTTCGCCGAATCGCTTATATCGTCCCAGTAAGGAGAATCAAATTCAAATTCACCTGCAATAATAATAAGGGTACACGGAAAATTCGTTTTAGATTTAGTCGCTTTTTTCAAACACGTAAATGTCCGCGTGTCATGAAATCTTTGTTTCTCGAATAAATGAAACGATTCACAAATTATTTATTATTTTTTCTGAAAATCCGCGCAAATTCAGTAGATTTTTTCAGAGATTTTAGGTGATACGTTAGATTTTTGATATTTTTAGACCATTTTAATCTGATCCTTGAATTAAACCATATTGAATTATTTATATAGATATTTCAATATTTGGCAATAAATGTTGATAAAAAATTTTCTCACGCTATTCTAAAAATATTGAAAACGCACACATTTTTTTTTTGTAGAAATTTAAAGTCAACGATTTAACGAAATTGTATAGCTAAATGAAAAATCTTTCCGTTAACGATTGTTATTATAATTCAAATTATACTAATGTAAGGATTTGAAATAACTATTTATTACTACATAGATATGTTATTTTTTTTGAAACAGAAAACAATTTTAAAATGTTTAGTTTAATTTTAAGTTATCTTTACTATGAGTTACCATTCAACTGTATTTTTGTGTTGAAAATTAAGTCATTAACAAATAACAATAATATTATATGATAAAATATCTGTCTTCAGAAAAATTATTTCAATTTACCATATTAAAAATAGAAAAATAAATAGTTAAGTAATAGAGCAATGTACATAAAAGCAGCTATACCTAAATTATCCATAGAAATTGATAAACCGTATCCACTCATAAATTTTTTTTTATACAATGATTTATCATTGAATTCGTATTTCAGATACTTATTTTAGTGGCCTACTCTARCACGACAAAACATATTATACAGCTGTAGGTGACTTTCTTGATATTTTCTTTTGATCTCTCAAAGTACAATTCAGGTTCAATTTGCTGATAAAAAACACACTCAATATTAAACATTATTTTTACATCATGAAAAATGTGTTCAGTTGTAAAATTGTAAGAAAAAGTGCTGTAAAAAAATATTTATAGCTCATGAAATGATGAGTGTTTTACGTTAAATGGATTACACAATATTAAAATTATGTAGGTTTTAAATAACATTATTATGTAATTTTGTTTTGAAGATTCCATGGCTCATATTAAATTAGCAAGTCTTAGAATGATAATAATGAGTAAAAACAGAATTATGTGCGGGTGCAGTCTATCAATTGTGTGTCTATTCTTGTAACACCGTTTTTTAAACAAAAAACTTTAACTGTATAAAGGAGTCAAATAAATTATGAAAGTAGGTAGAAGTGTATATAGGACATATACTGTATAGTATGCACGTTAAGATGTCGTAGCTATTGTGAAATATACCACGTGAAAATTATTTTGTACTTTTATCAGGGTAGGATTTAAAAATGATTGATCGTAATGGTTCAAATATAAATGTTTTTAAATGTACTTACAACTGTAAAATGTATATATGAACGAATACATATAGCCAATAAAATACATCTGCATGCATTGCAATGTGTCATACCTTATACCTATTTGATTTGCGCACTAAATGGCAATATTATATTATGCGCACGAGTGACTCAACAATATGATTTACCTTTTAAAATTTGAGCGAAGAGATTCGCGTCGTTTTCATCGTAAAATGGCGGATATCCGCACAGCAATATGTATGAAATCACACCGATGCTCCAGACGTCCACTGCTTTCCCGTACGGCTTCTGAGCCAACACTTCCGGAGCTGAAAAACGAAATGGTAAAATAAATGATAGTATACATTAAAATGTTATAAGAAAATAATATTTTTTTTCAGAGGGTCTTATGAATACATAGAAAATTTATTTTGAAAAAAAAAACGGTCTAGCGAGTAAAAATGTCACGTTTTCAGGAAATTCCTATCTTAATGTTTCATTTTCTTTGGAGTTTTTGATGATAAATTAAATAATAATATTATTTGACTAATGYAAAAACAAAAAACAACAAATAGTTATCAATGAAACTCTGTGCTGTCATGATCGAAGATCTAAAATACACTATATTATACACATATATTCCATAATATTWTATAATAATATCACGAAGATCATAAATATATAAYAGTCAAATGCACCAAAGAAGTCTGAATTCCGAAATGCAAGCCAAAGCTTCTTGTCAACTCCAATATACCTCCAAAACACCATTATCCCGCAAGACAACTAAAAGTTGGTTCTCAATTATCAAATTGGTTCCCGGGTTATCTACAGGTAATATACATGTGGGTTCTCGTGTTTTTTTTACAGTTAACATTAATTACATTTTATAACTTTATTACAATAATTATTATTGACGTTTTAATAATTGTTTATTGACCAATTAAAAATTATTAGCTACCCAAAATTGAGTTGCAACTTTGTAGTTAAGAAACGCTGTGATAGATGAGCGTTTAGTGAGATTGGAAATTGATACTGTCTATTATATTAGACTGTTAAGTAATGTTAATGGATGAATCGCAATTTAGTACACATTATATGCTATAAATTATAAACAGGTTAAGGTCCGGTTTCAAAGTTTTCCAAAAAAAACTCTCAGAGTAATATTTGCATGCCAGTGAGTGGAATTAAAAACTTATTTGCGTTTTTGAATGCGTAATTTTTGAGTAATTTATAGATTTTATAATTTATTTATTGATATGTCTTTAAATCGTTATATTCCAACGAAAAACGGACTTCCCCCCTAGAGGTTTGTCGCTGTCACCTGAAAATCTGAAAATTTGTATAACAGATTGGAGTGTGATATCGATGCTTGTGAATAGTATTAAAATGGGTTTGAAATTCAATGAGATGGCTACTGAAATTATCTTTTAAAATCTCGCATTCAAATAACTCTAATCATATAAGTATTATATACCGTTCACTAGTAAAAGATTTGTGCCCAAAGTTCATACCTGAAAATCTGGGAAAGCCAGGTGTACGTAATAAATATATTGCATGAGCGAATCGCGTATGTAACGTGAGTTAAATGTATCGGAAAAGGCGTAGTTAGTAAACGAAATCGAGACATACGGAAATGGTCAGCTACAATAACCGAAATCGAAGAGAAAACTTTCACCATATCGGTGGGTAGGTCAAAATGGTAAAGACTAATGATAAACGCTTATTTATCAAGGTTTGAAATGACGTTTAACGATGTATTGTGTACTTTTATCGTGAAAAATCAACTGCATTAATAGACACAAAGAAACGGTTTATAATAAGTAGAAGAAATATAAATAGAATGAGAGAAAGTGAAAGAAAAATCATTGAGTTCCTTTTACTATTTTGATATATTATATTATTACCATTAAAATTCGATAAAATGTCAAAATAGTTAATTGATAATTAACTGTTATTTATTAGTTCATGACCAAGACACTTTTAAGTTTAATTTAGTTTGTTAATTCTAAACCGTTATTGTGTTTTGTGAAACAGTTTTTTAGAGTATGRATATATTAATATAAAATATTTATGTCTATATATGTAACATTGTGAWATAATAATATAGGAAGGCATCTAGTAAAATTGGCGTTATAAATAAATTTTATAAACAGTTTTTTTTTCAATCATCTATTGATAGCGATTTGAACAATATATAAAATAAATATTTAAATTAAATCTTTGAAAAATAATTGAATTTTTTTATTATTAGACTTCTCTGTGGAGATAATGAATCGCATGAWTGGGTTTTTTCTACCACAGTGTTGGATGGTTTTTACAAATTTCTATTGACCGCCGCGCGCCGTTTGTATTATATTCCAAACAAGCTAATCACCAAAGTGTAAATTAAGTTGAAAAATCCCTATAATGCATTTACACCAAAGTCCGCGAGACTTTCTTTTTTTTTTGGTTTGTTTGTTTAGGTTTAATTTTTAAAATAATATTACACTTCTATCACGGCGCACGGAATGATTACAGTTTGCTGGATATTATATATATATATATATATATATTATAATATAGACTTGCCGAGTGTTATTATTATTTTCAGCAAATTTTTTTCTGGTGRTAAAATGAATGAAGGTGAACTACCATAGTTGAATTGTTTTGCTTTGGAATGACGTAATAGTAAAATAGAGTATGTAACGAGCAACAACCCGCGAATTCTATATGTAATACTATGTAATTCTAGTGGGTAAAATACAAATAAACTATACCAACTCAAACACGTTGTATGGAGGTCTATTTGACAAGCATGCTCACCACCATGTTTTCCTTTAATAATATATTTTTAATGATACTCGAGGATTATTTAAAAAAATATAGTTTATACCATTTAAAGAGTGCCTTTTGGCTGTATATACTTTTCATTTTTTTCAATGAGAATCAAATRGTTTGAATATATTAAATTGTTAAACAGATTATGAAAGATTTGATATGACTAAATCAAAATACGTATGAGTAGTTTCTGAGTTATTAAAATTTAAATACTAAGGATAATAGTCCTTAGAAATTATATTTTATAGAAATATAAAATAGATTTAATATCGAATCTAGTATTTACCATTTATCATACTAAGATAATATTTACAAATTACAACAAATTACTAAAAATATTTTTACAACGTCGTTATAATACAGCCTTCATAATATAATTCAAACCAATTATCCTAAGAGTACAAACTACAAACATTTAAAACAAAATGATATTTAAGTTTATATTGGTATATTGAAATTTTTGGAAAAATTGACCCCTTGACAATTTACAATGAAAAAGAAAAGTTTCAATTTGAACAAAATGTTATATTTTCAAATATCACATTTAGAATTTCTTCAAAGTTCTATTGATTTGACAACAAAGTTTTTTAGTACATAGCTTAGTTTTTTTAAAACTTCAAAAAATGAGGATTTAAATATTTATTCATCATTAAAGGAATAATGGTGGGTGGGGATAACAATGCTTGGCTAATTACCAGTATATTGGACACTGGACAAACATTTTTAATTATTTTACAGTAAATGTTAACGTATTTAATAATTTATTAATATACAATATTTATCTAAAATAAACTTTTAAAGTCGACTGTCATGAATTTCGTTGCATTTTTAATTTTTGTTTGTATTTAAATATAAACAGAAATATATAAACAAAAACATTAGCACGCAAATTAATTTTTCGTGTTGTGTCTAATTACTAAGAATGAAAGATGTATTATACATACTACATAGTTTCCATAGTTTCATTTTATGATATCGCTCAGGAGTTAATTTAATCTGAGTAATCTAACTCTGAATAGAAAATACAAACATTGCTGAATATTTTCCGTGGAATATATTATAATCTTATGAAATTAATTTTCATTTAATATTGATTTGGATCGTAGTTTATTAAAAAGAAAACACAATTTTGGGACTAACAAAAACCCTCATCAATATGTAGTTTTATGCTGAACCCATCTAGAATGCACATAACAAATGAGACGTATAGTAACGGTATCGTTTTAATAGTTTTGACGAACCAATTTTATGAAGGGTGATCCGTTTAAGTGTCTACATTGATTATTTTCAAAAGTTTCAATTTTTTAAACTGTTTTTATGACTGTAAAAATATTATATATTTTCATATTTCGACATAGAATGTTTTTTGGATTAATTAGATACATAGAAATATAGTTCCAATCGAGTTGTTAACTAGTCATAACTACGGCTCGGAAATTGATGACATTAAAAACAATAAAAAATGCCCTAAAAAAATATGTAAATATGACATAAAAATGTCCTAAAAAAATAACCTAAAAATTACAAATATTAGTTATAAATTAACAAAAATACATTTTTTTTTAAATATTTTACTATATTTTACTATAAAATTCAAAATATGACATAAAAATGACAAAAATTTCCTTGAAATAGGAAGATAAAAAAATAAAAAATATTTGTTTTATAAATTTATCAAAGCTTACAAATTATTTAAAAATTAAAATCATTGCATTGTACAATTAGAGCGTATTTTATGTTATCGAAAGTAAATGAACGACGATTATCTGTTAATAAATATTTATGATTGGAAAAAAACTTCTCTCTACGTCCACCGTCCACTTAAGTGATTGGGGCAAATCTGAAATGTACCAAATCATCAGCACTGAAATCATCCGAAAAACACTCACATGAAGCTTCTTCGCCATTTAATATTTTTGAAATTGTTGACAACGACAAATGTAATCGTCAAGATGAAATTGAATAGGTACTAATCTTAGACTGTGGTAATTTCCAAGTTTTAAGTTATCAGCATAATGGTCGACAAGAAACGATAAGAAATGAACTAGTGTGAAATCAGTAAAAATGACTAAAAAATGACCTAAAAATGTCAAAAAATGACTTAAAAAGTAAAAAACACCAAAAAACGCAAAATAAAAATTAGTTATTCAGATTCACTTGCTTATGAAACAGATTTGTAGCCCGGAGAGCATCGTCTAAAAAGTTCCAAAAAAAAAATGYAAAATGCATCAACTTCCGAGCCCTAGTCATAACCAAAGTTCAGATTTAAATTCCCTTTCAAAAATGCGTTTATGATTTAATAACTCTAAAAAACCAAAAAAYGTAAGATTGATTAGGTTCGTTTTTGAAATATAAAAACGGGTAAAACATTGAAATTGACAAGTTACATAAAGCTTTTCTACTGTACTACACTATTATACTTCGATAAAAGTTGTATGCAATTAAATCGGTTAATTGGTTTTGGTTAGTGTTGTCTGATTAAAAATCAGATTACCTGAAGTTCTATAGTTCA